AAGAATAAACTTTGGGAAAGACTTTTGGAAGCTAACATTCCAATTTATTCGCTCTTTCTAGAAGGCTGCCATCTTACCATGGCCATAGCTCATTCAGTATGACGACAAATTACTGTTTAACTCTCTTTAACAACGGCAGCTATCCTCACCCTCTGCATGCAAGAGATCGATATTGGGAAGTCTTCTGCATTGCAGAAACCAAATTAGGTAATAACAACCCCATTCAGATATCTGTCTTTAGTTTCGCCCTAATTAAACTTTTACATCTGCTCTGCGCTATAGCGGATTTGGAGACACTACAAAAGTCTAGTGCATCATGAAGCTCTCTCCTATCACCACTCTAAGCAGAAACCAAGCTGAATCATTACATCGGGACATGCAAACACTCATCTGGTTTGGTGGCTGCAATGATAAGTTGGAAGGCAAAAAACCCAACCGCAAGCTCACGGCATTTTGTGTGAACCTGGAACATACCTGTTGGTTTTCCACTGAAAATAAAGAAATGGGCGGTTGGATTTTTGTCATAATATGCTGCTACTCTTTAAATAAAAGGGTACATTTTTTAATTAAAAGTGTATTCCAAAAAGAAAGAGGAAGTATAACTTCATTTACCTGAAGAGGCACATACTTTTCAAGACTTCCCACCTCCAAACACTTTTGAGGCAAAATAGTTAAACATTGATCCAAATTAGAAAATGGTTTCTTTTACTTTGAAAAAAAAAAAAAAAAAAAGCTTTGGTGAACAAACTGAAGTTTCTTTTGAATGTACTGAGGAATTACTTCCAGTTAGAGGAAGATAAGAAACACATACTAAGGAGTGTTTCAAAGGTAAATAATTTTACATAGGCACCAAACTTGAGTTTATTGTAGATCAAGAAATTATTTTTGAGACTGAGTTTTGTATCCTTCAAATTTATGCTCAGCTTAAGACTACCAAAAGAAAATTTCCTTTAATGAATTGTGATAGATGAAGTGAGACACACAGACTATGGATGGTTTTGGCACACTGTCCTGCCTCTCAACTTCAATAGTCATGAGATGAACCTCAGTGCATGAGAAAGCAGGCCTCTATTCATAATTTTGAAGTGTTGCAAAATGAAAGTATATTTGTGGAAAACAGGAACTCAGTGAAAAGTACAAATGAATCCTGTATTCTGTAGTGGCCTGCAGTACCTGAAAACAAAGACATTTAGTACACAGGAGAATGGAGATGTGCACACAGGAGTTTTGCAAATGCAATTTGAAGCAAGAAGAATCAAGAGATTCCAAGACTTCTATTTGAAGGAAGGCTCTCCAAATTAACATTAGATCACAATAGCAAGCAATGGTATCTAAATGCAACTTTGCTTAGTTTAAAATTAGAAACGTTGTTTTCACTGCTAAGGCAGTGAGAAAAGAGCACTGCTCCAAGGAAAAATGCTCATACACTTCCTGAGCAGGCAAACTGTACATGCCTTTCAAGGCATTACATGAAACAAAGTGCTTTCCAAACAATGCATCTAGTAAGTTTATGGCATAACTTAGTTAGAATCTGACAGCTTTCAAGTAGAACAAAAATATTTTGAGGAGAGCTTTGAGACTACACTTTTCAAAACAGAGAAACAATCAAATGATCCAATTGAAAAAACTGCTGTCTCAGGCCAACTTCCTTTTGGAAGGGAGCTGAGAAATCCATTTATTCCAAAAGACCAGCTATAAACAGTTACTAGGAAAAGTGTGTACATGTACAGATGAATTTGGTTAGCCATGCACCGAGGCAAGTGAGTGAAAGAAATTTGCATTCTGAACTTTCACTAGTATTTACTCCTGTAGAAAAATTGTCCACTGCAAACAAACCAAAAAGCCAATAAGATGAACACAGGAGCTGAAGCACAGGCATCGATTGCCACTAGCCATCACACTGTTTGAACCATTTTGGTATTAATGACGAACATGTCCCTCTTTTCTAATATTTGACTGAAGGGTTGTGCATACAGCATTAGAAGTCCCCGATGTCAAAGTTTAGCACAGAAAAACAGACAAATTATTATTCTTTAGAAATATTTTTCTGCATTTACATTTTTCCCACTTTTTCACACCTTCCTGTACTTTTTCTTTAAAAGGGTATATTTTTAAATAAATCATAGCAAAGAATTCAAGCAATTGGATCTACATCTCTATGGACAAGCAGAGTTATAATAGCAAGTTCTGACAAAGTTACCATAAATATGCAACAAAAACAACGAACACACATTTTACTTATACTTCAGCTGTGCTTTCTATAAATAACTATTTCAGTTTCTTTATGAAGTAAAGGAGAGAATAAATTGCTTTAGTCTTCACAGGTAATGGGAGGAACATCCCTCTATCTACACTGCCTCTTAGAATTTAACATGAGGAGATCTTCAACGTTATGGATTATCATTTAAGTAGGCAATGCAGACAAGACCAGAGAATTAATAAAAACCTCTTTTAAATGGATGTAATAAAAAACCAAAACAATCCCAACTTTAAATATTTAGTTCTCAAAGAAGCTTCCATTCCACATTTTGGTCTTAAGTATCTGAAGATTTTAATCACTGTACATGCGAGCTGGACCTTAGATGCTTTCCAGGCAAATAAAAAATTGTAGCCAGAGATTAATAAAACACAGAAGCAGAAAGAAAAATAAAACTCCACATTCTCATATCGCACAATTCAAGTTTATTCCATTCATTCTTGCAACACAAACTTAAAAATACAGTATCATTTAGCATTCTGATGTCTGAACCATGATAATGATGAACCCAACTGTGTCAAAACAGTTAACAATGGTGAAAAGAGGAAGTCAAATATCAAAATGCACAGAGCACTAATTTTCTTCCATCACTGTATAGAAAGATGATTGTTTATCCATTTACAAAATATAATTAAGACAAGTTCATTTTGAAATTTTGCATGCAACACTGCAATTGCTTGACCTAGGACACTCCATTCTTACCAGCCTCTTCTACAAGTAATTCAATGTTATGTTCAAGGATAAATTTCCATTTAACTATCGTACTCCTTTTCCCATTTGCTCCCCCTTAAGAAAATGGAGCAGAGGGTATAAAATCCAAAATATTCTTAAGGTTATAAGTTATTCAGCACAAATTTCAAAGGAAAAGGTTTAAGAACAGAGTGGATTTCCATGTATGTGTGAATCCAGTCTGACAAAGTATTTAAATTCTGTTTATAGAAAGAAAAATAATTTGCAGTTCGGTATTTTCATCTAGTTAGGACCTACTCAAAGACACAGGCAGCCAACCATTATTTTTTCCACAATATTGCTAAAAAGGGAACAAATAAACAAGCCCAGTATCTAGACAATAACAAAAGCATAAGCTTTTATTATTATGTTGTGGTTTGGGTTTTTTTGTTTTATTTTTTGTTGTGGCTTTTTTTTTTAATCCTGGGCAAAATGATCAATCACCTCTTATGTAGTGCAAAAAGCAAAGAAATATTTTTTCTTTATTAACCAAACATTAAATGCCATCTTTTAACTAGCTCGAAAGGCAGCTTGGGTATTTATTACAGCCAAATTAACACTTGTCTCACTGAAGTTTGTTTGCATTTTTTTTCCCCCCCTCAAGTGAAGTAAGAAAAAATAAGGTGTCCACATAATTATAGAAAAAGGGAAGCAAAATTGCCTCAGTGAATCACCAGAGGAGTTAGTACAAAGATGATGTTTCTTTACTATGATAATGCTCACTTAAAATGAGAGTTGAAGGAAAGGGCAGGAAAGAATACAGAGAAAAAACCTAAACCCCAAAACACTATGGCCAGACAACTTGACACTAATCAACACAAAAAACTTGAATAATCAAGTTTTCCACATAAAAACAGATTGCAGTTTTCTAGACTAGTATTTTAATAGCTAAGTATTTTATAGCATAACATGGAGGTAAATTTATGCCAAAGATGGTAACTTTCATAGCTGAATAAAGAGTTAAACCTATTGTCTGCGTTCACACTATTACAATGACATGACAATCCAGCACTGATCAGAGATAAAAGAGTTCTCTTTAAATAGTCATTAAAAGCACTGTTCACCAAACATGCTTGTTCTTTTATCAGCAGCTCACCAATTGATTTATCACTGATTTCCAACCCTTCTGCTCTTCCTTGCCATTCATCTCCAAGAAACAAACAGTAATTGCACTGTACAGTTTACGGCCAGAATTGATTGTTTTCTCCATTGCTTTTCTTATGAGATGTGTACATGTAAATCAGTTTCTAGTCTCCCTTTACAGTCTAAATGCAAGGCTTTTTATAGCCGAGACATTCAATCGTAATATTCAACATGATTCAAGTAAAACTAAGTCTCCATTAAATACGAGTGGTAGTCACCAGCCTACTCCTACATATCCTCTCAAATTCAACAGTGATATCAAAATAATACCGGCTACTTTTGTTTAAGAATTCAGCATGAGACATTATATACATTTGCTTTCTGTATTGTGTATATTATCAGAAAGTTTGAAATCTGCATTCCCAAAAAGAGGAAGATGTATAGTTTGTGGTACACGCTTTGCTGTTATAAAACCTGTTATTGAGTTTTGGGTGAATCAGCATTCTAATGAAAACTTTCAAGATGAAAGCCAGAAGCTTGGACGTTCCTGAGGACCATAAGACGTGACAGGAATCCCTACAATATCATTAAATACTTTCCCATGAATTATCAAGGCTGTCATAGTACTGACATACTTACTGGTATAGTAAATCTTATCTAAATGTTGATGGTTAATGTAGTATAGTGGCATCGGGAACTTCCAGAACAAGCCCCATGCTTTAATGAAATTTAAGAGGTTCATTCAGCCAACAATGAAACACCGATTCAAAGATATGCACGATTAAAAGGGGTTTTTTTTTCCTCCATTAGTTAGAGCGAGACAAGACTTCTACTTGTACATCCTCCTGTTCCTAACACCTGAACTTAGAAAGCTTAAACTTTTCTGGTAAACTTTTACATGTAACAACAATATTAACCTGATAGGAATGCGTAAATAATTACTGTTCATTTTCCACATTTGACTCGATTATCCTTATGTACCAAACAGTCTGTAGCTTTTGCACATGTCTGTAAATTCTATGTTTACATGGTGAGTAAGGAAATTTCATCTTGCAATCCTTTTGGAAATAACTACAGTGATATTTTGAACTCTCCCATAAACAGTTGCTTAAAACATCTGTCCTGGACTAGACCAAACATGGGAAAGAAAAACCTCAAATTCAAGCATCCAAAAGTACCTTGGCAGATATTATGGAGTGTAATACCACCATGCCTCAACTGATCTTTCCTGGTTTACTCAAGAGTCAGAAAAACATTAGTGTGACATCCAATTAGTCAATATAAAGAACAGCTCCAATAACTAGTATCAAAAGTCCTCAAAACTGCAACTTAAGCTTTAGGCAGAAGAAGAATAAAGCTACCCACTGAGAGAGAAGAGAGAAAAGTAACCCAGCCACCTACATTACTATGCTTCAGATTATGGCAGACACTAATAGCATGGGACTATTGTCTCCTTCACAATTAGTTTCAGGTACATACCACAGTACTTCCATCTAAAGGAATCTTTCAACAAAAATCTTAGTACTAACCTAGGAAGTTTACAAGCCAAAAATTCAAGGTCATGGTCTGTCTTCCTTCTTCCATTTTCACTAGAAATGGGAAGAGATTGTGCACTGAAAAAAAGTCCTAGAGGGACACTGTTCATAATAGTTTTCAACCCTCTCCAAACAGATTATCTTCAATACAAGCCCCTAACTAGTCTGATTCATAAAGAATTTCCCTCCCCCCAAAGTATTTAGCCGAAGAAGCTGGAAGATGCAAAGAGTGACAGACAGGCAGCAGTGTGAGGCCACAGGAGAGACATTTAAGATATCAGTCCATCCGTCACTGAAGAAGAGTTTTGATTGCCTGGTTGTCAGTGGCTTCAAAGGCAGTTAGTCCATCTGGGCCTTTCACAGTCTTATCAGCACCCTGTAAAGATATTGAGAAGGACTGTCAGTTCATAAAGCCAGGCTGTATTAATACTCAGTGTATCACAAAAGTTACTTACTTCGGATGATTATATTGATTACACAAAGCTTTTTAGTGCAGTGCATTGTTTTCATTTGGAAACCAAACAGGCAAGATCTATTCAGCAAGCAGCTAACCTAAATTTCAAAATTTACTTTAGAAGTGGAAAAAAAGTCATCACATAACCTTTGTCACATAGCAAGTTGTACAATCAACAAATTAACAATTAATCTTTGATAGAAACAGAAGGATTTTTTGTTTCTAGCAACTACTCATGAATACAAGAATTCAGTATTATACACCTCTATGAAATCTATGGCACAGCAAGCTTCTTCACACACTAAATTAAACAGGTAACCTCTGGAAGAGCTTACTTACTAACAAATCATACTATTTTCTTTTTATATCATAAAAGACTGCATCCATCTAGGACTGTGCTTCTCTCTCCCATTTTGAAAAAAATCCCTATTGCTACATAGGCAAAAAGTCAAATCATTCCATGTCCAAAGCTGATCAAGTTTCTTTTGAATAAGCTATGCCTACACCTAAAAGGCAACAAAACAGAATAGGGAGGCAACAGGAGGATAGAGGACAACAGAAATGCACCAACCAAATTGCAGAATAGTAAGCACAAACTCAGCCTCAGTGCCAGAATTATGAAAGGAAAGCAAAAGTAGCAAAGAGTGATTAACTAGTCATGTTTGTTTTGAGCACTGTGTAGTCATATACATAAAAGCAAAAAAACCTGACTAAATTGTAAATAGGGTAGTTAAATAAAGGGATAAATTATTAGAGAACACAGGTCTGACTACAGAGATCAAGAGAGATGTTTCCTGAAAGAAAGTTAGATTCCAGAACACCTCCTCTTGAGGAGATATGCAAGACTCACTTTACAATATACTCAATCAAGTGCCAGGGAAAACAACTGTGGGTGGCAAGAGCATGTAGTGCAGAGGTTTGTCTTTAGTTTTACATAGAACCCTCCCCCCGCTGAGAAAGTACAAACCTCTTAATTACATTACAAGGAAGGAAGTGCACAGATTACTAGTAAAGGACACCTAATGCTTTTTAAAAAACACAGTGGACCTAGAATTTCAAAAGCTTCTTTACTGACAAAAGATTATTCTATTCTATACGTGGTACCATTTCTGCTCCCAAGACAAGTCTCAGACCACTAAACTTCCCATTGTAAATGTTTTTAACAATCTAATAAACTAGATCTGACATTACTATGATTTGCTGCCAATGCTACTATTCATAACATAGAATACTTCCATCTTTGAAATCTCTACTCTCTTTACTTGTAAATATTCAATCTCCCATTCTGAAAATGGTGGCTTTACAACGGTTTCTATGGCAGCAGTGCTCATCCTGCAGTCCACTGGCCAAACTGATCCTGTTGCATCCGTTCATCTTCCTCGCAGCCCCTAGAGACCCTCAGTGCAACATGAGCCGAAATAGAGTGTTTTGTTTGGTGGCAGTCAGCTGTGGGGCAGGGAGATAGGCTTCTGCTGTCAGGGGAAGAGCCCGGGAAAATAAAATTGTCTTTAGAACTCCAGTAAAGAATTCAGAGAGGGATATTTATAATTGCAGTAATTCCTTCCTTCACTTTCTCCAGTACCTTTCAGGTAGCAGAATACAGGCATACATTTTGTGCATATACAACAAATTCACTCCAGTGACAGGAGCAATCATAACATTTACCTCTCTCCTGCCACTATGTAACACCCTTAGCCCAAACAGTATGCTGCAATACAGCTATTCTGTTGGGTATGAATGTGAGCTAAATCTGTCTGTTCACAAGAAATAATTAGTTGGTCATTGCAAACACACACTTAGGCTGAAACCACTAAAAACCATTGCTTGTGAAACTTTTGTTTTTTCCCCCCTAAAAAAGCCTGAGAGATTTAACAGGTATTTGACAGTTGTAGAAGAAAGACTTCTTTTGCAGGCGTTGATTATTTCTACTGCTTAGATAGCACTCTCAGATTACAGTCCATGTGGAAATCAAAAGGGCTTCAAAGCTGTTCTTTGATGTTTACCTCGGAAAACCTGAAGGAATTTAGGCTTGAAGAAAAAAGGAACTATGGACTAACTGACCTACCAGTATTCATCTTGAATCATAGTTTGAAGAACTCGCCACCCTCATGCACATTTGTACTTCAGTGAAGTTACAGACACTCAAGACCCGAGTTTCTAAACCAGCTTCACTGAAGGTAGGATAAGAGGGTCACGACTACCTAAGGAGGACACCATTCAATAAACTCAGTGTTAATAAATTAGAAAAATGGACCATTAGCTAGGCAGAAAGATTCCTGTCTGCATTCAATAGAACAAGAACGAAATAAAGTTCAGGTCAAGAGGGCTTTAATTTTCAGAAGTACAACACTGCCTGGAAGTTTAATGAAAAGTGCATAAAAGTAAAACGATTCCACAGTATTGTCTACTTCCCCAAAGAAAAAACTATTAACATGTTATGTTTGTTTTATGTTCTTTTCTGAAATTACACACACAACAATATATATATATATAAACTCTCTTTCTTTGGCAGGGTAATACCAAACAAGAACATTTGCCCTCTTAAGCCACGGGGCAAAGCACAAATATTAAACGTGCTCTGAAGGCAGCAAAATAGCTACTAGGGTACAGCTGCAGTTCAGGGGAAAAAAAGCAAACATGAAGGCAGCAGATAAAGGCTATGCAGAGCTGTCACCAAACTCTGAAACTGGAACTGGGGGCACTTAATGAAGCTGGTAGAAGACTGGTTTACAGAGTAAGCAAACATCTGGAATGAGTTGCCAGATGAAATTATGGAGGCAGATGCCAGCTTGTTCAAAAAGGATATGGATGAATTCATGGACAGCAAATCTATAAACACTTCTTAAAGGGAAGAGAGGCACATACCTCTAAAATCCCCAATACAACAGCTATGAATGAGGGGAATAAGAGCAGAAATGGTCAAACTCGCAACTCTTCCCAAATGGCATCATTTTTTATCACTACCAGAGGAGGAAAAAAAAAGGTGCTAAATTGCTTAACTCAATAGGATATTACTTATAACACATTTTTAGTAGAAAGCAGAGATCAAATTGCATTAGATATTTTACAAAAAGCAGGACTATTTTGAAAGATGAACCAATGGATGAGATTTGTCACCTCTTTCACAACAAACTTTATTCTCCATTAGAAGCGTTCAAAATGATTTGTCTATTCCATTATATTGGTTTCTCCTACACTAGAAATCTCTAGCCTGACCAAAAAACTGTTTATTAAAAAAGCACGTCTCAATTTTGACCTAGAGGGTTTACGCTACTTCTGGTAGGCATAACACCTTAAGATTGAATTCCTTCTACTTTAGTAAATTCACCCATTCCTTGTTGAGAGCAGTAAAAACTGTCTTCACTCACTGTGTATTTCAGTACTTGGGATCTTTCAAAATTGAAATTAATATGAATATTAATGAAATATGATGAATGAAATGAAAAAATATGAAATTAATATGATGCTGCATTATTACCTACTGGTAACAGTAAGTTAATTAAGTTTTTTTGGAGGCTGATCTAGCATACATGTAGCAGCTGTTTGTTAATTTAAACACAAAATCTTGTATATAGATTAGAAGCCAAATAGAAGGTAAAGTCTTTCCTAACATACAGAAAAGTTTCAAGTATAAAACCTCACTTTTTTTTTTTTCCCATTTAAGCATGTTTTACAGTTTTGTAATGTATGATTGATTTCATAGGATTGAAGACTATCAAGTTGGAAGGGACCCATAAGGATCATATAGTCCAACTCCCCGTTCCTCACAGGACAACATTACAGCTTTAATTCCTGTGGGTTTGGAAGGAGTAACACTGTTCGAATATTTTAAACATGCTAACAAAAACTTTGGGTTTGATCTTTACATTTAATTTACCACATTATCAGTGTTTTGTTTTAGGTGATATTGGGCACACCTTAACCATCAGAGATGACCACCACTGTGCTATGGTGAAAACCATTTAATGAATCCAATCTGTCAAAATCATGATAGTAATTGATTATGGCTGATCGCTACAGTTAGCACAACAGCAGTGCCTGAAAACAAGCATGTGTAATCTCAATTTTTGAAGGTTTCAAACTGCATCTAAGTTTCTTATAGTGCAATAAACAAAACCAAGCATTGCTGATTCCAAAATCAAAATATCTGAACAAGGCATCAGGAAGTCCTCGCTGAAACGCTAACTTCACATGAAAGTGTGTAATAATGGTCCTTTTGAGAAACTACCTTTGGAAGAGTATAATATATCTACCCTTAAGTCATCTTAGGTGTTTATCAGTAATCCTATGTATGCATTGTAATTATGAGAGCAAAGTCATATTATTTCATTTTGTTTTAAACAATATAAGTTGTTTTATTTATCCAAAAGAATTATATGTTGGTTATATCTGTTTTTTCATATGTCTGAACTTGAATACCAACACAAATTATGGTAATGCATGAAGCTACAGTTCAAAGTACTTTAATCATAAAACCATAATTCAATAAAGTATTTTTTGCTGTGCTTCATGAATAGAAAAAACAAATAAAACCAAAATATTGGGGGTTAAATCCATGTGGCCATTACAATAGGTCAAAACTTGGGAAAAAAAACCCCAAAACCTAAACCTAAAACATTGTCAACAACTTCAATACTGAACAAAGGATTTACCAAAGAGTAAAAACAGCATTATAAAGCTGTTTGCTTTCTGAAGCTGCAAAGTTACTACTTAAACCTGCTGGAATACTCATTTGCAACCACTAATGAATATTAAAATCACATTTCAAATACTTCCTTTAAAACACACCAGGAAATTCCGTCAAACGATTCTTCGCGGTACTTAATTCACCGTTTTTGATTAATGTACTTTCCAAGGTCAAAACAAACATTATGGGATTACCTGCCTTTCATGGAAGATCTTTAAACGCTTACAGGGTTTCT